GAACATTGGGTTGGGAGAATGGAGGGAGATCAAGCAGTGTTTCAGAAGAGGGCCCCACTCTACAGCCACCCAGCTCAGGTGTTAAGGTCAGAGGTGTGGAGCTAGTCTGAGCAGTGACCCCAAGGACAGTCCCACCCCAAAGCCACCTGACTTTTCCACTCATCCACCAGGCATCATGGAGGGGAAGGGGAACCTAGTGAAGATGCTCCAGCCCCACTCCTGGGCTGAGGTTCCCTTAGTAACGGAGGTGCTATCTGGCCAACCAGAGAGCCAGCATGGTCAGAGATGAAGGGAGATGGTGGGATGCAAGTCCCATCACTCAGGACACACTGCCACCAGCATAGATGTGAACAGACTTAGCAGTCCCTTGCCCCCCAGTAGGAGTGCCTGTTGATAGGCCCAAACTTCTCAGTTGGGACAAGACTGATGGACTCGCCCCATTTCTTAAAGAATGGAATGGAAGGGGCATGTCCAGTGTCAGGTCAACAGCTATGCTTTGCCTAGGCATGTATCCTCGTCTCTGCCATTTGAACTGATAACGTTGGAACCTGTGCTGAACGGACTTCTTTTATACAACTTTTGGGATCTCTCAAACCAAGAATCCAAGTCTTTCATCAAAGGGTGGGAACCAGGACAATCACTGTGTGAACAGAATGCTGGACTAGACAGGTCATGGGTCTGATCCAGCTGGGCTCTTATATTCTTCTGGTCCTAAAAAAATAGATCAACAGAAAGTTGCATCATTTTTTAAAAGCACCAACTTTTGCTGCAAATGTATGATGTCTAAGACTCATAGGAGAGTTTTATAAGAGTATAAATAAACGAGCAAATTAAGTTAATTTGGATATTCAGAAGATATTAAAAATAAATTTAAGGAACCTCAGAAGGAGGGGGAAGGAAGTCAAGTTTTGAAATGTTAAAATGATTGTAAAATTAATGAAAAGCATAAACCTGAAAAGCATAAATAATTTTTTTAAAGGATCATAGGAGAGGATGGGCGAATTTCTTACTGAGCTATATTTTATTTTATTTTATTTTATTTTATTTTATTATTTTATTTTATTTATTTTATTTTATTTTATTTTATTTTATTTTATTTTATTTTATTTTATTTTATTTTATTTTATTTTATTTTATTTTATTTTATTTTATTTACTGTCCTATACCCAGAGGTTTCAGAGTGGTTCACAGTATAATTCCACCCCCCTCCTTTCCTGCAGATGGTCAGATCTACACTTACGCAAAACGTGGTTGTGCAACCAAACGTGCTTGTCTGAATGAGCCACGTTACTTTGGGATCCCTGGAATGTACATGGAAATTCTGAAAAATCCCCAGTGCACTGCTGCTCCCAAAATACTCACCAAAATTGGCAAGTAGCAAGTACCTCAGGAAAACACATCTCATGAAGAGACTCTGGTTAAACTAAAGATCTGCCGAGGCATTTCTCAAGCAGCCGAATACCATTCTTACCAGGAAATTTTCATTGATTTGTAAGGTGGAATAATTTGCTATTCTATTATTTTGTTTGTCGGCAATTAAACGGAATAAAATCATGTTAAGGGTGAAGGAGATTTGCTTCTTTAAGTTTTCCTGCATGCCACTGGATCCTTGAATGACTTATTTTCATTAAATGTCCCATTTTCATCCTGTTTTGTAGGGAGCTGTTTAATTACGGTTTCCCAATTGAGTCATCATGAGGAAATTGTGGTTTAACAAATCAAGATGTCTTTTCTTAAGATGGTTAGGCAAGAGGAGGATGGGAGAAAGGAGCACTCAGAATCATGGGTACGTTTTGCTCCAATAAACCATAGTTTCTGGGTCGGGGATTATTACATCTGAACCAGGTTATTTGTCTGCTCAGTTGATGGTGTGTTTGGATGTCATTGCAGGTACTGTTTAAAGCAGCATTATCTGTTAGAGATGCTCTAAGCAGAATCCCTGATCTGCAACATGTGCATAGTGAACTTTAATCTTTAACACCACCTGTATTTGTATGGCTCTTTTGAAAGAAAATTATTGCAAATGGCTACCACCATTCAGTGGCATTGAGTTTCATGGGTTAGTAGGTTCCATTGTGCACACATACTTACTCACGTAGGTGGTGCTGTGGTCTAAACCACTGAGCTTCTTGTGCTTGCTGATCGGAAGGTTGGAGGTTCGAATCCCTGCAACGGGCGCGCTCTCATTGCTCTGTCCTAGCTCCTGCCAACCTAGCAGTTTGAAAGCACACCAGTGCAAGTAAATAAATAGGTACCACTGCGGCAGGAAGGTAAACTTTGCCTTTACCTTTATGCTTACCCATAGCAACAAACGGCCTTTGTTTCCTTAGTTTTTAATTGGTGGCAGGATTTTCTTCTCCTAGGCATTTTTCTGAAATGCCTTGAGAAAGTATACATAGACACGGCTTCAGTCTAGGTACACTGGAACATAAGTCAAGTTAGAAGAAGTTGTGAAATTAGAATAATGCACCAACTTTTTTCTTTCTTTCAAATTCTCAAGGTCATTTATTGCTCTTGGCCCTCACAATATCCAGTGGCCATAAGTTCCATAGGTTGATCATAGTGGGTGGAATGTTCTCTGTCACTATTGGTTCTTTATGGCATTGGCACCCAGTCCTTAAACCAAAAAAGACTCTAAGGGCAGCTTGCCAAAAATTGGTATTAAAATGCTCCCTGCCCTCAAGATGACAATCTAAAAAGACACAACACATGAGGAAAAAGGGAATGGGAGGGAGGAGGGAGGGAAAAGCAAGCTTAAGCACAAGTTCTTCAAGTTTCAGTTCCCATAAAGCAGTTATATAGGATCTGGCTGTCTTGCCCTTGATAAACACCAGCCGCTTCCGGGGAGCACTCTCTCTTCCACATCCTGGACCAGATCCAAGAGCAGAGTGGGTGACAGTGATTGCTTTCACACAGTGGTTTGCTTCATGTCCCTGACGCTTCCCTGCTAATATCCACATTATATTTGAGCTTTCATGTGGTGTGAAACCACTTCCAGGAAACTAATGGAATATAGCAAAAAAAATTAGCACTCATTACCACGACTTGGAAGGAGTCAAGCGATGGAATTCAGGGTGGCAAATAGCTGTTTTCATGGGGAAACAGAAGTACGTGTGTGCGGAAAGGTATAGGAGTATCAGTATTTGTTGTTTTGTCCCGCTATACCCACCAGTGTAAAGGAAATTTGGTGTGATGTGCTGGTAGATCGGTGAAAAAGCCGCTGTTCCAGAGCACGACAGGTACCACAGTGTGAAAGGAACTGTAAGAAACCGGATAGAAGAGCTATCCTTGTAACCAGGAAAAATTAATTAAATATTCCTGACGTCTGGTGCATCCAGTGTCCAGGTTGGTAGGACTATGGCAGTTGAAGCTGCATCTATGGACATTTCCTCCCAACCTCACAGCTACTGAAGTTGCAAGAAGAAATATGTTCCACGTGCCATCTCCAACAATCCCAGGTGTGTGTGTTGGAAATAACCTTCTGACTTGCATCTCTTACCTTTGGCTTCAGTTTTAGAGCCTTGAGGCAAACATTAACTTCTCAGGAGGTGTCGTCATGGCTGCTAAGCTTGCAACAAGGGAAATGCTTCACCCGATAGTAATTGATGTCCTTGGAGCCGGATGAACACAGGAACTAGAAGTTCCTCAAATGCTACCTTAATGAGCTGAATTGATCTGGACTGAGAACTCTTTCCAATATGTGTCAGGGATTGAGGGGTGTGAGCAGGAGGAGAAATTGGATCTGGTCCACATTTAAAGGCGAACCTACTGACTTTGCACTTTCTGAAACCGCAATGTGAACTGAATCACAGCTTTCCTTCACAATTTGCACCTCTTTGAATTTTGCAATGCGGTTCTCCAGGCAATTTGCGTGTACAAAGATGCCTATAGAGTGTGCATGCAAATGCAATATATTAGTGAGAATAACATACAGAAATGCATGGCATTAGGGGGAAATTGCTTTGCAAAGTCTGTGTAGAAGGATAGGTGCCCACTAACATACTGGTGAATTTTTATGAGGACCTTTAAAATCTCTCCCCACAAACTGATGTCGAAATGCAGAGAACTGAATTGAAGATTGGAAATATGAGAAACTGAAGTTGACAGACACACCCATCTAATAATGTACCTCCTCCTACACACACACACACACACACACACACACACACCACTCATCTGCTTTAACAGAGTCAAATCATTGGTTCATCCACCTCATTTAGAGATGGATGTGTTAATCTTTTTCTACTCTGTATCAGTTTCAGGTGTGCACATTCATAAGTCTGTTTGGTTCTATTTCTACATCTCTCTCTCTCTCTCTCTCTCTCTCTCTCTCTCTCACACACACACACACACACACACACATTGTATCAATGTCTGCATTTCTAAACACTTGACCCTAAAATATGGCACTTTTTCTTCTTTTTCTGTTGAGCCAAGCACAATATCACAAAATCAGTAGAAGTGCAATAGCCAAACGACAGTTACATTCCCATCTGCACATTAATCCAACAGGTGTGGATCAGGTCTGTTCATTTTGGAACCCACAGAAATCAAATTCCATGAGCAATCTTAGCTGAAGTATTGTCTACAAGGGGTGGGCATGGCTCTCTTTGGTTTTAGATGTGGGCCTTTCCCAACCCTCCTCAGAGAAGCCTGGGAATAAGCCTGGGGTTTTCTGGACGCAGGGCATATGCGGCAGCCTCCCTCCTCCACCTTAAAACTTGCCTCTTTAAGTTTCTCAAAAGGAGATGTCGTCATGGTTGCTAATCCAAGACAGGCACACAAGTGATTGATGTTTCAGGAACTCGTTCCATCCAGGAACTATTATTGTGATCACACACAAACACATACATGCACTGTGCTCTTTCTGCGGCATTTTCAACCCACAGAGCTGTAAATCATTCTGGATTGAGAGGTGTCTTCAACACACACACACACACACACACACACACACACACACACACACTTTTCAGACTTGGTCCTTTGAGTTTCTCAGCACAATGAAGATTTCCTTGGAGATCTCTGTCTGGCTGCTGACAACCTTGCTAGCTACAGGTGAGTTGGCTGTTTTGAAAGCCACGGGTGACCTTCTCGTGTAAGAGCTTTTCTTGACTCTTTTCCAGGGTCTTAACCACAGGGAGGCTCGCCCACATCAGGGATATTCCAGATCCAACCCTAAGTGTTCAGCTGTCATGAAAATGAAAGCGGAAAAAAGATCAAGTCTCTGACCCAATTACATGAGAAAGGATGCAGGCAGCATTCTGCCCAATAGATCACCACAAAGTACAATATATGTGCCTCCAATTTATGATCTATCTCTTTTGCCCTGGCCACCTGACCTCTTAGGCACTTCACCAACTTCTAGCTCTATGGGCCTCCCTTCTTCAAGATACCAGGCTTTGCAAATGGGTAGACATCCTTTGTGGTGCCCCAACATTTCAAGAGACAATGGGACACCCACCACTTTGTCCAGATAGGGGCTAACACAAGATAGTCATAGGTTCTCCATTGCAGTGGGGAGTCCTCTGTTTGAAATGCTTTCAGAGGGCAGTCTTCTCATTGAAGGTGACCTATATCTGAAGGGCTTGTGTGGTCTATGTCTGTTGGTGACCCCTGATCTCGGAAAACTATTAAGGGGCCCCTATGTGAGACATTGATCTCCTTTCTCTCTCCCTCTCCTCCAGGAATCTGCCTTCAATGTGAACGTTGTGAAAGTGCCACCCGGTCCTGTTCTGGGCCTCTGCAGACCTGCAAAGGGCCTCAGAGTGCCTGCCTCACCCTCACAGTAGAGACCCGAGTGGGTAAGTGGCTCATGTTTGGTTGGCTCGGGTGGAAGGTTACCGTATTTTCGCCCCAGGGGACTCTGCCTTTAGCTGTTCCTCTTTTCTTTTTCTCAGTTTAGCTTACCTCACAGGGCATGTTGCGAGGTAATCATGAAATTATTGTCATTGACAACTCTAGGGTTTGCAGGGTCCCCAAAGGCACAAATCAACAAGAGTTCCTGCAGTCTGGACCCCTGGAATAGCTGGTTCTCCTTCTTTTCATGCAACCAGGCAAAATGAGGAAAGTGGCCACTTACAAAGGATGCACCAAGCTTGAGTACTGCCCTCTGGGGCCTTTCACCATCACCACTGCGCCAGAGGAACGCATTCGGAGCAACTCAGAGTGCTGCTGCCAGGATCACTGCAACAAGGGAGCTTTGAGGTGTATGCATTTCATTTCATTGCCTTGCTAGCTCATTTGCTTCCCTGCCAACCAGGTTTATCAACCATATTCCTGCGTGGCAGAATCCTGGAGTCTTGGCTCCAACAACATGTCTTCATTGGGGAATGGGTGTCATTTGGGCGTTCAGCATCTGCTGTGCATGCAGAAGGTTGCAGGTTCAGTCCCCGGCCTCTCCATGTCTGAAATCCCAGGGAGCTGCTGCCAAACGGTGTCAATGGCTCGACTCAGTACAGGCAGCTTCTGATGTACAATTTTATATCAGCTTTGGCTCTCATTCACCACTTCCACCTTTCCTCCTAGGAGCTCAAGATGGTGCCCAATTTATCCCTACAACAACCCTGTGAGGTAGGTCACACTGAGAGACTGTGACCGGCCCAAGGTTACCCAGTGAGCTTCATAGCTGATTGGGGATTCAAACCCAGGCCTCCCAGGTCCTAGTCCAGCACACTAACCACTACCCCATCATCGGAGCAGAAGAAGCTGCCTTACACTGAATCAAACCAATTGGTCCACCTAGCTCAGTATCACCCAAACTGCCTGGCAACAGCATTTCAAGCAAAGGACATTCCCGTGGAAATGCCACTGGGAATTGAACCTAGGATCTTCTTCCTGCAAGGCTGCTGCTCTACTACTAAGCTACAACCCACATGGCTCTGATGATACATGAAGGAATGCTACACAGAAGTGGTGGTTGCATGGATGCTTCCCTCCCTGTTGTTACCACCTCCTTGCGAAGTGGCAATCCAACGGAAAGGATGTGTGGCATCCACATGCAAAGACCAAAAAGTGGCAGCGACCCATGTTTGAATCTTGTTGTCCACCCCTGCCAAAGGCTTCTGCAACCTTAGGTTGTATCCAGCCAACCTCTGCTCAGGAGATCCTTTGAAATGAAAGGACTTAAGTTGACCGTGCCCATTCATCTCGATGGGTCTGCTCTGAGTAGGATGAGCATTAGGCACAGGAACCCCAGTGTGACAGCACTACAACCTCTGTCATTCCATTGGTTGTGCTGACTGCCGCTGATAGGAGTTGTAGTAGGGGCAACCTCTGGAGAGCCACACGCTAACCATCTATGCGCTAGACCTTGAACTATGCCAACAAGTCCTCCCCAAGTTCACTGCCATATTTGTAGACAGTCATCTGTTGGGGAGACTGGATTTCCTGAGATTGGACCACATACCTTGAAAATCCCCTTTCAGGTCTCTGATTCCATGGAGTTTCAGCACCACTTTTGCAGCGTTCAGCTGCTGCTGAATGCAATGTCTTCCAGATTTCCAGAGTTCTTGCTCTTACGGTGTCAACCTGAAGCCAATCCACACTGAAGGCAGGAAGACTCACTTCCCATTTCCCCTGCCCTCACTCTCACTTGGCTTTCTTTGATTCTCACCTAGAATGCTCCAGAGGCTCTGATTCATTCCAGGGTGAGCAGCCTCTTGCTCACCCATCCCCAAATCTGCACTGCTAGCTATTGTTGCTAGGCCTGATGAAGCAACGTGGTACTGAGCAGCTCCCTTTATCAAAAAAGGGAGTGGGCGAGCAATCCAGAAGTGTTAGTAGAATAGGATTTTGAATGTAGCTGCCAACCTCTTTGATTTCTTCCCAGTGCCTTTGCTAAGTGAACCCAACCAAAGATGGTGCCCTCCACGCAACTTGAGAGGTTCTACCTGCACGATCGGTGACAAGGTTTTCTGCCACGGTCGGGAAGTCTACTGCATCTACCTCTCTGGCTATGCTGCAGCTGGTAGAGTTGCCAACTTTAGTTTTTTAAAAATACGGTCCTCAAGGGTGATGTATCCCATTTCACCAATTCAGGTGAAACATGATGGTGCTTTCCCCTCCCTGTCCCAGTGCCCCACCCCACTGGAGCCCCCCTACATGGGTTGTACAGCAGCAGCTGAAAAGCAGTGACAACAACAACAACAACAACAACAATAACAACAACAACTTATTTATACCCCACCCACATGGCTGGGTTTCCCCAGCCACTCTGGGCGGCTCCCAACAGAATATTAAAAACACAATAAAACATCAAACATTAAAAACTTCCTTAAACAGGGTTGCCTTCAGATATCTTCTAAAAGTCAGATAGTGGTTTATTTCCTTGACATCTGGTGGGAGGGCGTTCCATAGGGTGGGTGCCACTACCGAGAAGGCCCTGTGCCTGGTTCCCTGTAACCTCACTTCTTGCAGGGAGGGAACTGCCAGAAGGCCCTCGGAGCTGAACCTCAGTGTCCGGGCTGAGCAATGTCGGGGGGCGGGGACTCTCCTTCAGGTATACTGGGTCGGTTCCAGCAAGAGCTCACAGAGCTCACAAGATCTTGCTAGAAGCTACTGCTGCTTTTCTGGTCACCCCCGGGGCACCGTCTCTTGGAGTTCTACCACCAGAGGCAGTTGCCTCAGCCTGCCTCATGGGTGGGCTGGTCCTGTCCACCCTGGGTGTGGTTTTGAAGGATGAGCCAGGGCTGCATGGAATCAGGGCTGAACATAGGAAGCTCCCATATATTATTGGTCCAATGCCATCTACACTTGACTGGCAGCAGATCTCCAGGTTTTCAGACAGGACTTGTTCCCCATCTCCACCCTGGAGATGCCTGGGATAGTCACTGTATTACTTCACTAGAGCTCAATAGTAGAGCATCTGCTTTGCAGATGCAGAAAGTTTCAGGTTCAATCCCCGATCTCCAGGTAGGACTGCGAGAGACTCCCTTCCTGAAACTCCAAAGAATGGCTGCTAGTTGGTGTAAACAATACTGGGATTGACCAGCTATCTGGATAGCTCATTTGGTTAGGTGCTGATAACATCAAGGTTGCAGGTTCAATCCCCGTATGGGACAGCTGCATATTCCTGCATTGCAGGGGGTTGGACTGGATGATCCTCAGGGTCCCTTCCAATTCTACGATTCTATGACTTGGTATAAGGCAGCTGTCCTTATCCATGATCATTGGCTAAACTGGCTGATGGGAGTTGTAACCCAACAACAGCTGGGATTCCAAGGTTGAAGAACACCAATCTACCCTGACTGGAAGCAGCTTCCCAGGGATTATGGCCATATGATTTCCCTGACCTATCTGAGATGCCACTGAGAATTGAACCTGGGACTATCTGCATACAAAGCAGGTGTTCTACCTCTGAGCTACAGCACTTCCCCAAGAAATCATCAGTCAAGGTGGTTGCCTGGAGGGAGTGGAGAGGACCGAAGGAATGGCTCACAGATCCCGGGCATGTCTTGGTTTGATTGTTTTCTTCCATCCCCTCAGGTAGCAAGAATGAGACCTTTGTCAGACAAGGCTGCGGGACACAACATATCTGCACTGATAAGCTGGGCATTTTTGGAATACCAGGGTTGTTCCTTGAAACGCTGACGAAGGCAGATTGCAACCAGGCTAATGAAATTGACTACTCAGACTTCAGAGACCTTTCATGGAACTGAAACACACACACATAAGCCTTCCTTTTGGCTCTTTAGCCTGACTAAATTATTACATCGAATGGGTCATAGCTAGGCAATGTGTGGGGCAGATGGAGAGATGAAGAATATTATGGATTTTCCACCAATACAGTGGTACCTCGGGTTAAGTACTTAATTCGTTCTGGAGGTCCGTACTTAACCTGAAACTGTTCTTAACTTGAAGCACCACTTTAGCTAATGGGGCCTCCTGTTGCTGCCATGCCGGTGGAGCATGATTTCTGTTCTCATCCTGAATTCTTAACCCAAGGTACTATTTCTGGGTTAGCAGAGTCTGTAACCTGAAGCATATGTAACCTGGAAGCGTTTGTAACCCAAGGTAACACTGTACAAAATAAAAATAAAGTTGCTGAATTGTTTCTTGTACCTTTTTTTGAACTGAGCAGTCCTCAGCTAGACTAGTCAGACATCCATTATACAAAGGGTAGGGAACTTCAGGCATGGATACTGAATGTGGCCCTCCATATCTCTGTATCTGTCCATTGAAACTCTTTCCATGCCACACCCCATTTCCCCAGGCCCCATCTCCCACTTGGGATCCCTGGAACACTCTCCAGGCCACAACCCCTCTTCTCTCTTTTCCTCCCAGAGACTGAGAGCAGCCATGTAGTCACGTAGCATGGTTTGCCAGGGCCTGGGGCAGATATGCTTGGGCCAGTGGAAGGTGGGCGTGGCGGGTGAATTGAGCTGTCTTTAAAAGTAACCTCCAAACTCTATGATTCTGTGAACCTGTTTTTGAATTTGAATGACTGCTCTTCTGTACAACAGGGTCAAGTTAACAGCTTTTTTTGTAATAAATGGACATCGAGGGGAAATCGCTAAAGTACCAGGAAAGAACTATGGAAAAAAACAACACTCACTCCCATGGGCTCCTCTGTTTGCCTAGTTCTTGCTTTTTTGCCTTGCAAAGGTCCATAACAACATTATTATACTGTTTCTGCTCTCACAGGGAACCTGCATGATTCATTGTTTGCACTTCATTTTATGGCTGGCTCTGGCTAGGACCAGAGATGGCCAGTGAGGATCACCTTAAGCTATACACACGGTCCCGTCAGAAATGTAATCTGCACCCTACCCATAAATTGTCACTGCAGGGAAACTTGTTCTTTTCTGCTGTATGAAGCTCTCAGTCCCAGCCTGAGCACGGATGAGCACTATGCACACCTGCTTTGCCTTTTCCATCTTCTCTGCTCTGGTGACAGCAGGGAAACGCTATGCAAAATCTGTTTTGCAGCTGAGAAAGATTTGAAACAGAAGCAGATTTGGGAGGTGGCGTGGGAAGATAAGAGCTTTGGAAGTGAGGTGGGGAGGTGGCGAAAGGAGCAAGAAAGTGTTTCTGTACAGAGGTGCCAACTTGAATAAAATATTGGGAGAGGCCGGGATGAGCACTGTCCCACATCACAAAATACGGCATGCACACACCATTTTAATGGCAATGCCCATCATCTTTTTTTGGTGTGTGTGTGTGTGTGTGTGTGTGTGGACCCCTCAAATATTTTATTGGAGAAAGCTGGTTTGTAGCAATTCAGACCTTTGGTTTTCTGCGTCAGAAAATTTTGAGATGTGCAACCTTGAGAGTGGTAGATATTGCTTTGTGCATTCGTCTGGGAAGAGCAAATGAGGTAGGTCAAATATAGAAACCCAAACAAAGCTTGCACACATCCCCAGCCAAGACATTGTGACCACCTTAGTGAAAACTAGGCCTCAGACATAGGAGAAGGGTGGAAGGCTCTGGTGCTTTTAACAATGGCAGAGAAAGAGGGGAATTTGGCAGTTTTCATGCCTGCAGCTTGAATGATGCCCTTCTCAAAATTTTCACCTGCTCTGCTACCAAAGGACCAGGTGGCATTCTTTGCAATTGGCCTGGAAAAAAACCAAGGCATCCCATTTCTCCCTGTAAGAGCATTGCGGCCATTTTGGGCACAATTTTGGGTTGAAGGAGCTTTGGGTATTGTCCATTTGCCACCAGTTTTTTTAAAAATCCCTGCTTCTTTGACTTGAGGATAGGGATGGGCGGACCTGTCAATTTCAGCTTCTCATTTTTCCTATTTTAAGCTCGGTTCTCCACATTCCTACAACAGTTTGCAAATTCTTTTCCTGAATCCCCACGGAAATTCGCCAGCATTTTGCTGAGAACCCCTCCCATTATATGTATGTTTATACGCACTTTCCCCTAACAGACAAAGTTTTGCAAAGTCATTTCCCCTTTATGAAGTGTTTTTGTATATTTTTTTCCACTGACGTGTGTGTTTTTATGTGTACTTTATCCCAGTATATGCATTCTGTACACATCATGTGGCTAGAAAACTGTGAAGCTATGCAAATTTCAAAGGATGGCTTCGGTTCCCACATTGCTTTGGAAAATGTGGGTCTACGTCTCTACTTCAGTAGCCACCTCTGAAGCTTTCATCAGGGATTTTGTCTCCCTGTCAGGAAAAGAAAAAGGCTTTAATTTCCTCTTTTAAAATTAGGTGCTTATTCTAACAGGTGTACAGCATCTAGAAGAAACAAGGACACATAAAGGAGATAACGAACAGCACGGGCATCACAGTAAGCACACAAAGAGGATATGAATAATTACAAGCTTCTGAAAGGCAGGCAAAGGCAAGGATCATGGACATGGCAAGCGCAATGAGTAAACAATAACGTATGTTGAGATAAGACAAGGGGGAAGCGCAGGAAGCACCTAATAAAATGGGCAACCAAGAGAGAATAAGGATTGGAGGTGAAAGAGTCCAGATGAAACTATACTTTGCAGTTAAACGCTTAATTCTCAAGACATCGGGGCCAGATTAAAACCTTGAGAGGCCCTGAAAGATTTTGGTGCCCCCAAATATATCTAATTCAAAATATAATCAATAAGCAGCAAAAATAAATAAATATTTGAAATGAAACAAAACCTTCAGTAAGGTGGAAAATAATGTTTATTTTTGTATACTTCTATTTTATTTATATTTGAAAAAATAATTCTCCTGCTTTTTCTAATTTCAAAGCCTTTGACCAGATCCTCAAAACTAATCTTACGTTGACATGTCCGCTTCTGTACTTAGCAGAGAAAAGGCATCCAGCCTACCTTGTTGCATAGTTGTTCTGTTGGGATTTTTAATATAATTCAACCGAGAAAATGAACTCTTAGCTGAGAAATTTGTGACCGTTAATGCTAAAAATCCAGCAGTGGAAAATTTCTGTGGTGCTCCCTTCCCTTGATGCCCAAAGCACGTGCTTATTTTACTTAATGGTTCGTCAAAGCCCTGCGAGACATCAAGGCTCCCATAAGAGAAACAGGCTTCCTCTTGGATAAGGTAGCAACTTGAGGCACTTCAGGTAGGACGGCAGGGTGTGTTCAGCAGCTGGAAAGCAATATGTGACTGTGAATGTGATTCTGTGAAGTTAGCTCCAACTGCATTTGCTGCTTATTTGTGTCTCCAGCAGGTCTGATGTCTTGTGAAGTCTGCATTGCAGGTGGGGAGATGTGCCATGGGAAGATGCAACCTTGCTTTCTGGGGGAAGACACTTGCGTGAGCATTTTAGGGGAGACCACCCTGGGTAGGCAAAGGAGACGAGGCTCACAGTTGCTGATCGATTTCTCTTATATAGCCTATCTGTTTTTATTGTTAGTCAATAAACACTATGTCAAACTGTATATAAACTGTTATTTACAAGAAAGAAAGAAAGAAAGAAAGAAAGAAAGAAAGAAAGAAAGAAAGACGTCTTTCAAGACTTACCTTTCCATAATTTTCATTCCAGCAATTGATGAAGCAAGCCTGTCTTTCTACCAACTCATCGAGCTGAAAAGTCGCCTTTCTCCTATCAGCTAAATCAGTTGGTCTGCCATTTCTAAATATTTCTGCAACTGCTCCCTCAAAGGTGGGGCTTATGGATTTACCCCCATTTTTCACACCGTACTGTTTTTGCAGCAGTCGTCATCATCATTAAAGATTTCAGATAGATAGGGATGCTTTCTTCAATTGCATAAAAAAAGACCAGCACTGGGAGTTTAGTATCAATGTATAACTGGTTGTTTATGTTATTGTTCTGACTGCTTCCAAAACTCATAACCCTGTGCTCCAAACTAGCAGGGTTGGTGAGAGTGGACAGGAGATATATTTATTTTAGCCCTGTCCTCCTGGCCTGGACACTCTCTGAGCCATTCCTAATTTTGGTCTTTAGGAGGAGAGGACAGGGAGGGGTTGCTCTCCAAGACAGTCCAAAACTGTGTAAGCTGTCAGGCATAAGGTGGGAGAGTCTCTTCTTTTGCTTTAAGGGTGGAAGATCTTCACAGGAAAGCCCACCTGTCCTCAGATTTTAAACAGCATTATTAGAACAGGTTTGTAAGCCACCTTTGGCTATGTGAACTTTCTGTTGCTGAAAAGCAGCGTAGAAATTTGCGAAATAAATTAACATAGCTCAACATAAATTAACATACATTCACTCCTTAATTTACATTCAGTCTTTTTGACCCTAAAACAAGTAATCCTGAATTAATTAACCGCAGCTCATACTGCCAAGAAGAATCCAGACTGTTACTGCACTCAACCATACAAATCTATCTTCTGATATTTGTCCAGCAGGTGTCACTGCTTCTTAGCATTACAGAGGTACCTCTGGTTGCGAATGGGATCCGTTCCGGAGGTCCATTTGCAACGTGAAAAGCCCACAACCTGAAGTGCTGTATCTGCACAGGTGCACTGCGTGATTTAGTGCTTCTGCGCATGCGTGAGCGGCGAAACCCAGAAGTAACCCTTTCCGGTACTTCCGGGTCGCAGCGGGACGTAACCTGAAAAAAGTAACATGAAGCAAACGTAACATGAGGTGTGCCTGTAATACCGTCTGATTTTTATTTTGATAATAAAACCATTAGGATTCAACAGATTTCTAGGCATATATGGAAATAATGTTTCTAATGCAATTTGTCCGCTCTTTTTCCCATCAGATGTCAAGGAAATAAACAACTACCTGACTTTTAGAAAGCATCTGAAGGCAGCCGGTTTTAGGGAAGTTTTTAACATTTGATGTTTTATCGTCTTTTTAATATTATGTTGGGAGCCACCCAGAGCGGCTGGGGAAACCCAGACAGATGGGCGGGGTATAAGCAATAAATTATTATTATTATTATTATTATTATTATTATTATTATTATGTATACTCCACCCATCTTCCTGGGTTTCCCCAGCTACCCTGGGCAGCTTCCAGCATATATGAAAACTTAATAAAATGTCAAACATTAAAAATCAACATGTACACTTACACATGCGCAGAGACAGTTCGGTGTAATGTGTGAACGGACCTCTGGAGACCTCATAGTTAATTCTGATTCATCTTCTGCCCAGCCCTGCACTGACCTATCAGCGTATTCTTCTCTTTTCAAACTCTTTCTTTCTTCGCCTAGGCGTTGTGGCATTTGCAGGTTCCTTGAAGTCCTGCACTGGGCACAGAGCTTGCAAAGCTGGCATCCGGACCATGACCATTGGGCCTGGGATCATGCTGCGAAGAAGCACCATGTGCTGTAAGAGAGAGAGCTGCCAGAAGCAACTGGCTAAATGTACGTATCTCCTGTACTTGCCTGGCTTTGAAGATGCACCTCCAGGCCTGAAGGGGGTGCTGTACTAAATGACAAGGACTCCATAGAGTTCTTTTGCTTATTTTAAAGCTGGGGGCTGGAAACCTTTTTGACCCCCCCTGGAATATTTGAAAATTGTATAAACGACCGTGGGTACCATAGTCATGCTGCAACTCTTCCTTCATCATCATCATCATCATCATCATTTTATTATTATTTATTAAATTTGTATACAGTCATACCTTGGATGTCAAACACCTTGGCTTCTGAACAATCAGCTCCCGAATGAGTGAAACCTGGAAGTGCGGAAGTGAGCGTTCTGGTTTTCGAACGATTTTCAGAAGCCAAACGTCTGACAGGCTTCTGCGGCTTCCGATTGGCTGCAGGAGCTTCCTGCAGCCAATCAGAAGCTGCGGTTTGGTTTCCGAACGTTTTGGAAGTCGAACGGACTTCTAGAACGGATTCTGTTCAACTTCCAAGGGACGACTGTATTGCCCTTCAATTGAAGACCCCAGGGTGGTTCACAACAGAAAACTAGAAACTAAGAATACAAAATAAAACAAAAACAGACCAAATTCCCCCTCCTGCAGAGGACTAATTGTACACCAAAGAAGTGGGTGTTAAACGGGTCCAGTGTAAATTAAGCCAGCAGAAAGCACACAAAATACAAATTTGATTCAGATGCTATGGTTGGCTGAGATGACCTAAGCCTGGCAGTGGGGAAAACAAACCTGTAAAATAGGGTTTGAGTTACTGCACCCTTTTTTCTGCTTAATTTCTGCCATGTTGCCAGGTCACATGACCAAGCTGATTGGGTTTAGGATCCAGCTTAACTCTCCCCTCTTTGGTCCAGCCTTCACCCAGCTCAGCTCACCCAACTGGCTCTGGCTGAGCCAGGATGGGAGAGAAATGCTGTCATATCTCTGGCTGAGGTGAAGATGAGGGAGCTAAGCTAGCGCCGCCTGGCTGTGCCAGGAAACTGCCAGCTCAGGCAGAGATCTGCTGGATCCTAGCCCTGCTCATCCCAGTGGATCTTGCTACAGATATGTTTCTACCTGCTGAAGCCTGGGAGAAAGGCATTGAATAGTGTGGGCTTTGGGTGATTCATTGATCCATCCTTTCTTGGGTTTGTTCTGTTGCATTCTGACTCCTGTGATTGTATTCCCTCTCCTTCCTCCCAGTACCCCCAGTCAATACTACAAGGAACGGCTTCACCTGCCCAGCTTGCTATGCGAAGGATTCGCATTCGTGTGAAGCTGAAGGGTCCATGGATTCTACTGGAACAGAGGACCATTGCGTTCACATTACAGGCATTCTGGAATCAGTAGAAAGTAAGTCAGCAGGGAACAAAGCTGAGGAAGAGAGCTGAATTCAACTGACATGAATCAGTTGGAAGATACCACAGGAGCATCGAGTCCACCCCCCACGGGAAGGCAGGAATCTTTTGCCCAATGTGGGCCTTGAACCCACAACCCTGAAATTAAGAATCTAGTACACAGCTCCATTTGCACTATATGTTTAAGACAGTATCATGCCGCTTTAAACAGTCATGACTTTCCCCAAAGAATCCCGGGAGCTGTAGTTTGTTAAGGTTGCCAAGTGTTGCTAGGAGAACCCCTATTTTCCTCACAGAGCTACAGTTCTCATAATGGTTCAATAGTCGACTTCTCTTTTGTGGGAATTTTGCAAATTGTAGTTCTGTGCTTTTGGGAAGCCGCAACTCTTTAAGGTGGCGTGATACTGCTTTAAATGCTTATTTTTTATTGCATTTGTTGTTGTTTAGTCATTTAGTCGTGTCCAACTCTTCATGACTTCATGGACCAGAGCATGCCAGGAACTCCTGTCTTCCACTGCCTCCCACAGTTTGGTCAAACTCATGCTTGTAGCTTCGAGAACACTATCCAACCATCTCGACCTCTGTCGTCCCCTTCTCCTTGGGCCCTCCATCTTTCCCAGCATCAGGGTCTTTTCCAGGGAGTCTTCTCTTCTCATGAGGTGGCCAAAGTATTGGAGCCTCAGCTTCACAATCTGTCCTTCCAGTGAGCACTCAGGGCTGTTTCCTTCAGAATGGATAGGTTTGATCTTCTTGCAGTCCGTGGGACTCTCAAGAGTCTCCTCCAGCACCATAATTCAAAAGCATCAATTCTTCGGCGATCAGCCTTCTTTATGGTCCAGCTCTCACTTCCATACATCACTACTGGGGAAACCATAGCTTTAACTATACGGACCTTTGTTGGCAAGGTGATGTCTCTGCTTTGTTGGCAATGTGATGTCTCACAACCTTGTGAGGCAGGTTAGACTGAGAGGCAGATGACTAGCCGAAGGTCACCCAATGAGCTTCACGGCTGAGAGGGGATTTGTACCACGATCTCCTAGCTCCTAGTCTCACACTTTAAGAACTACAGTAAACCAAACTGGCCAGAGCAACCCAGCTGGAATGGTGATGGATTTCTTTTCCACATGAGGATGAATCAAGAGAAGTGCCATCCGTGGGTTTGTGGTACAGAGCGAGCAACATAAACTCTAAGAAGCTATTGCAATTTAAACGAGGGTAAATCGTGCTGCTGTAACTTACTCCTTTTTCCAAAAACTCTGTTCAGCAGCAGGGCTAAAGCAGTATCATACCACTATAAACAGTACTCTTTTTTGATAATAATTTTTATAAGTTTTCAATTACAATAACAGCCTCATTATAACAATGCCAAATTATAATACAATTAGTAATACCAATCATTCAGATGCCAAATTGTACAATTTGGGTGCTCCACCCTACCCCACATGCTAGAATTGATGGGTGGATGATTTACTTTATTTCCACGTTCCAAAATCTTATAAATTTCAGTTACACTCCAGTCAAAATAACAATCCCTTATACCGCAACTGCAGTTTTAATGACTTCCATTCGTATTGACACATTCAATGATTTATAAAGCTACAGGTGAAGCATTCAAAGTCTCTCCTTGTTCTTCCTGTGTGTGGCAGTTATTCTGTCCGTAATGTTTCTTCCTGTCCTTGTAATATATTACGTCTATCTTTTGGCACTATAAACATTCCTGGCTTCTTCCAAAGAATCCTGGAAACTGTAGTTTGTTAAGGGTGCTGAGAGTTCTTAGCAAACTCCTTATTCCCTCTACTTCCCAGATACAGTTCCCAGAGTTTCCTGAAAAGAGGGATGGATTGTTAAACTATTCTGGGAATTGAGGGGACACGAGTCTCCTTTCAGCACCCTTAACAAACTACAGTTTCCAGGATTCTTTGGAGGAATCTGTGGATGTTTAAAGCGACTCGATACTGCTTAAAATGGATAGCCCAGATGGGGCCTAGAAGTCCAGGGAGTTCAAGAGAACTAGAAAGACCCCAAAGAAAATTCATTGGCTTTACAGCAAAGTAGATCAGATTTAATTGTACCGAAGGTTTTGGCTTACACCAAGGCAATGACACTGACCGGAGCTTAACAGAGCTCAGAACAGAACGCCGTGTGTGGAGATTAAAGAAAAACAAAAGCAAATGAAGGATCCATGAGACATGACTCTGACTCTTCTTTTTTGCTTTGCAGTTGCTGCGAATGAAAGGTTTGCGGCCAGAGGTTGTGCTGTGCCCAGCGTCTGCGAGCATAGCAAGGGGATGGCTGTTTTTGCTGGTGTTTACACTTACACACTGTCCACAGTCAGGGAATGCTACGAAGCCCCTTCTGCGAAAAATGCTGCCTGTCTACACCAGCAACACTCTGGCTGGGGACCCTTTTCCTCTGCACACTGCTGCTTCCAGTGTCCTCTGTCTGCGTTCCGCCCAGTCTCTCATCCTGGCTGATAAAGTGCTTCACTTGATCTCTCTCCTCTGCAATGACAAGTCTGCCATAGCGTACATAACATAATAGGGCTGTACACAACATGCACACAAACATGCAGACCCTCCAAGTGTCCCTGTTTTCCAGGGACAGTCCCGCATTTACAGAAGCTATCCTGTTTTTCAATATCCCGCTTTTCCTTAGGACTGTTTTCATCGGATAAATGTTGGAGAGTATGGAGTAACCTGTTGACTCTGCCTATGTTCCTCTTCAGTTAAAACCTGAGGGTTTCAAGGTGTCAAACATAAAGTCATATTTACTACAAATATTTAAAGTATAAGTTCATTCAAGCGTTATGTTTCAGCAGAGGCAAACATGGCTATTTCCTACATAAAATACACATTTATGAAGTACCTCAGGTGACAAACCCTTCGGGTTACAAACGCCGCTAACCCGGAAGTAGTTGCTCTGGGTTGCGAACTTTGCCCCAGGATGAGAATGGAAATTGCATGCCGGTGGCGCGGCAGCAGTAAGAGGCCACATTAGTGAAAGCACGCCTCAGGTTAAGAACGGTTTCGGGTTAAGAACGGACCTCCGGAACGAATTAAGTTCGTAACCCGAGGTACCACTGTATTACAAAAATGACTTTAATAAGTCACATTAGAGTGCTTGTAAAATATTTAATATGCCTACAATCCAGGGCATGAACGAAATGTCAACTATTCTTTATGAATGCTTTTTTTCAGCCACAGCCCACCTCTCGGAGTCCATTGCCATTCTTAGAGAACAAGGGAGAAGTTCATTGTGAGCTCCGGCACCTCTTTTTCTAGAAAAATAGCACAGACTTTAGCCAGTGGTGTCCAAACTTTTTCAAAGAGGGCCAGATTTGATGAAGTGAAGGGCCATGAGGGCCGACCAATGGGCCAACCAAAGTTGTTAACCTTTTTTTACTTTTTTTAGGATTGAGGTTCTTGAGCTTTTTTAAGGGTTGAAGTTGTTGAGGTTTTTTTAGGATTTTACCTACGAAAAAAACTGCCACAGGGGCCAGATTAAACCGAATAGCGGGCTGGATTAGGCCCCCAAAACGGACTTTGGACATGCCTGGTTTAGATTGAACAATGAAATCAAGTAAGCAAGGCTGCAGTCCTAGCCCCACTTTCCTGGGGGTCAGCTCAATTCAATTCCATGGGATTTAATTCTGAGTAGATGTGATTAGGATGGCAGTTGCTAATGGCTTTGTGATGGGCCATTAGCCGTTTCACTTTGTATTTTAGGTGCCAGAAGAATCTGTGTTGTTTTCCCTGCAAAAGACTTAACAGGGCTGCCACTCTGGAAATGAATTATGTTTGAAAGGGAACATACTAAGAAGGCAATAGATTTGTAACAGTACCTGTTGATGACTGAGATATGAAGGTCTATCATGTACCCGCAATATTTGCAAAACAAAAAAAAAGGTGGAGAAGAAGGTATATTTCTGTGTCAGTGAATGGAAGAAACTCTTGTGCAAAACAGACCAATTGCAGAATGAAAAAAACACAGGATGAAAATGAATAGCAGAAGGATTAAGACATGTTCACACATCACTACCCTAAGGCGCCATGGAATGCACACAGCTTGCTAGTTTCTCAGTTTCTGAGGTCTACTTTGGTTTGTGGAAACATTTTATCTGACGTTGATTTCACACACACACACACTCACACACACACCACTCCTCCTTCTCTGGGCCAAATAGATTTTTAACGATAACAAACAACATACATAATCTCATTCTCCCCCCGCCCCATTGCTGGGAGGGTGCGTGGGTTGGATGAGAGTGAAGAAAGCAGCTGTATTACAGTAAATGAAGATGAAACACTGGAGGAGTTCATCCCCAGTAATGTGGGGCTCATGTTTCGTAGATGGGAGTGTTACAGCAGCGTGCCTGTTTTTCATCTGTCAGCCACTGGACTTTATGTAACTGTACAACCAGAATTACTTTTGGGAACAGGCTGTTTAAATTTAGAAGGCGTCTCTCCTTGATTCCCCATCTGAGGCCCTGCATTCCATCCTGGCTCACACAGATACCACCCAAACGCAACTTCTCCCCTCCAGAACTCTGGATAAAATAATACTCCATCTCCCTTTAAAGATATCTGAGAAAGGGAGGGGTAGAGGCAGTTGTTGCTTGGGCAAATAATGCATAGCTTCCTTCCCACTTAGTGCCATGGGTCTTCTGGAACATAGGCCAGAAACACAAGATTTCATAACAAAATAAATTGGCATGTAGTGCAGCGACCTCCCCAAGCAAAACTCTTTCAGTACTGGTTGCAGCATCTACTTCCATGACTTCTCACCGTTAACTCCAGCCAGCAGCAAAGTGGGAGACTTTCAAATTCGTTCTTAAACTGCAGAGCAAAATGGGAGCAGGGGAACAGGATGAATCAGCAGCTTGACATTGGACCAAGGATCCAAAGTTGTGTGTGGCAAGAAGATTAGCTTCTATCGGCAACCAGCATTTTTCTGTCTGCATTGCGACTTGGATGCACTTTCAGTTAGTTTCTGTTATGAGATTATAAGATCTAAGACATAAAACAAATGTTCATAAATGCACCAGGCAAACACATACACAAATATATAAACCACATGTCTGAAACAGTACAGGAAAACAGTCCTAAAGCCATTTTGACTCTTTCAGTGACCTCAGATGTTCCTCTGCAGTGTGGTGTAGTGGTTAAGAGCAGTAGACTCGTAATCTGGTGAACCGGGTTCACTTCCTCACTCCTCCACATGCAGCTGCTGGGTGACCTTGGGCTAGTCACATTTCTCTGAAGTATCTCAGCCTCACTCACCTCACAGAGTGTTCGTTGTGGGGGAGGAAGGGAACGGAGATAGTTGGCTGCTTTGAGACTCCTTAGCGTAGTGATAAAGTGGGATTGAAGGAAGGTGAGGACAGGTGACCTCACCTAGGCCCGAAGTCACCCCCCCACCAAAGCAGGCTCAAAGCTTCTCAAAACTTTTCAAAATCATTTTCTCAGCAGCTAAGCATCAGAAACATTCCGCTCTGCTGTAACAAAGGTAGAGAACAGTCCATTGTTTCTCAGGCCTTTCTCATGTCTTCTGGCCTTGCTAAAGAACCACATTGCAACTTACTTTCTGTCCGGGAACCATGCCAGAACAAGAGATTGAAACATATCTGAACATGCTGAAAACCCCTTGGCTTCTCACCCCCCCCTTTCCTGGGAAGGGTGCCAAGAGTCCACAATAGTCCCAAGACAGCTTTCTGTTCATGCTCAGAGGAACTCTTGAGGGAGGAGAAAGGGGGAGGGAACTGGAAAGGGGTATATATGCTTGTGCACATGATTGTGAACTCGTGCATGCTTTTTGTGACTTATCACAC